CTATGTAACCGGTTAATGAGCTTATATTTTTACTCAAATGAAAAATTGTTTGGCGTCGTTGCAGCAGCCAAAGCTGATTTATCTGATTGTTTTCTGAGGCGTGTGGCTTGATAACTGACGTTTGCTTTACCACACGCTTGTAGACGGATATCCCTTAGCGAAGCCGAGGATGTGCCGTCAGGGAGGTTATGCTCAATCGCAATGCAGGAAGACATCAGTCTTTTCGTAACTTCCTCAGCTACAAACTCCAGGATGTTAATTCCTCGAGGTTCCTACCATTAGTTGAGGCCCATATGTGCGTGAGGGGTGCTAACAGGTTAAGCTTATCGTTAATTCGGGCAAGGTAGTCTTTTAACTGTTGTATCTCGCTGATAAGAAGTATAGGGTTTACAACACGAAGGTGAGACTCTTCCAATATTAGATTCCTCAGACATAAGGTTGATTGATTTTGATCTTTTCGGTGGTTTAGATGTTGGAGACATTTCTATTTTGCTCGAATAATTGGTCATAATAGAAGACAGGGTGTGATGTGTATGGGAACACATCATAAAGTCAAAAAGAAGAATTCTACTATCACCACTGTTTCTGAATGTATTGACGGATGAGCCTTTGCAGACGTTTTTAATAGAAGCTTAAGGAATACTGCGCAATCAGCCACTAGTAGAGCTAATCAGTGACTGCGATAATCTGGATGTACCTAGGCCAAATAAGCTATTGCTAGATTACAGAGGCACGAATGAGTAAAACTTGCATATATAACAGGAAATAGAAGGAAGCGCAACAACTAGGCAACCTTTTCTGGAACAGATAGTTACGGGAGTGACTGCCGACCCTTCAGGCTAGATCCAAGTGGTTGGACATGAGAAGGAATCTAAAACTGTGAGACTTAGTGTTAATAAACAATATTGGCCCACCGAGAAATCGGTGACCGAAAGCCGTGGTTAGACAGGTCAATTATAGTCAGAACAGTTCAATTGAAGAGAGTAAGTGAAGAGATCAGCCAAGATAAACGCAACCTGTGCCTTCTATAACAGGTCGATTAGATGAAAGCGACGGTAATGAGGCCTAGACGTAGTGTTCGCTTACGGCGGAATGTTCGTTAGGTCCATAACTAACCAATCAATTCGTGGTTTAAGCGCTCACCCCGTTCATCTGGTCGGATCTGTCTGCTGCGTGTGACTACTAGTTGAAATACATTATTATCCTATTATATTAATGTGACTAATAGTTTTATTAATTTCGATAAGACACGCAAAACTGGTCCATATGTTTGTTCGTTTCACTTAGTAGCTTTAATTTTATTAATGATTGTACTCATCTAATTGTTTTTACGTTTAGGAAGAGATAAAGTTTAAAATCAAGTTGTGTTTGTTCTGAATTTAGTTTCTACACAGACTAAGAGGTCTCCAGTATCGCGCTTACAGTTGTAGTGGCATATCTGTAGGACAAATAAATCTCACAGATTCTACATATTATTATCCATATTGTGTACAAATGATCTCTGAAATGATAACTGAATCGCTGCTGGCATCCAAAATCACTGAAACAGACGCAATCAAGCAAGCCAAGAGACGTGGTGAAATCCACGTAAATTGCACAGCAGAGAAAAGAGCATGAGTTAATCGGTGTCTGTGAACGCTCGTAACGGACGAAAAAGAAGAGCCCGGCAAGGTGAACTGAGTGCATGTGAACTTGCAAGTCAAAACAGACCGAAATAATCAACCGACTTATGCAAAAATATATCGTGTAATGTGAACAATGTTTTGAAATAAATTCAGTATTGCTGGTAATGGTAATTTGAGATGATCATAGGTCCACTTCACTTCCTGAAATTCATCAACAATCTTGTGGTGGTGTTTCGTTCTCTGAGCTGGTTGTTTTGTTTATGGACCTTTCATTGTTCTTCTGAACAACATCATCAGCACGAACTTCAGATAGAAGTGAAGCATTCGAATTTCTCCACGTTAGACCTGTAGCTTGTTCTGCTAACCTCGATCTTGATTGGTTGTTGTTGACCATTGACCTGTCGTTGTTTGCGACTATGTTTTGATTGCCTCTCTCTTTTGATCTGTTTCTTGATACAATGTCACCCAAGATTTTACTGATTGGTTGATAAATTGGGTCAATGTCAATGTGTTCGTTGATTGCTAATTGAGGTGAGTGCCAAGCCTCTGATAATTCTCTACTGCGTTTTGTCCTCCCCCTACCAAGTATTTCCACGTTGTTCCACACATTTGTGTCCACAATTGTCGGTGTGTATTGATATAGTAGTGTCCCGATAACTGCATGTTCTTAAGCTCGGTTTGTAAATCAGAAGATGAACTCGTATTGATGAATACGTTTATTCGAGGCACACCTCAAAGCGAAGCGGAGAAGCGAATTGGAGAAGGCTAAGAGCCAATTCTTTGGATTACAAGGCGAGCGAATGGGCGAAGCGAATTGGAGAAGGCTAAGAGCCAACTCAAAGAGATAGAACATGACTAAGAATATATAGTCAGATAAAAATAAGACAGACATGACAAGCGAAATAGGCATGCACACACATGAATAAAAGCGACGAATGATTGACAAGGTCAAAAGCAAGCGACACAAATCATGTGAGTTGATGGGAGTATTAAGAGATTAACATTAAAGCGAAAAGGATGAGTAAGCGCGTAGGCGTAAGCAATGCTCAGTCGTATAAGCTCATACAAAGCAGATAATAAAAAATAACAATGGTACATATGAGTTGTTGCTATACCAATGGCTTGGTTAAATAAATTAATCGAAAGGGCTCAAGCAAATTAAATGTAAGCGGATGCAAATAAATGTGGAGGCACCACATTATAAGTGAAACGTTGTCGTGGCTTTTGACTGCTAATTGATGTTCACGTAAACGGAGCTGAATCGGTCGTCCACTTTTTCTTATGCTGTGTTTTTCACAGTTTGAGCAATTTATTTCGTAGATGATGTTTGGTGTTTCTTTTTTTGTCATTTTGTCCTTTGGTCTACATAGGATTGACTGATATGATTCTGTTGGTTTGTGTGCCACACCTATTCCAAATGGTTTTAGTAGTCGTTCCGTATGCTCCGATATGTCTTTGATGTATGGTAGGATTATGCGTTTGTTTGTTCCTGTGCTTCATTTCACTTCTGATGGTTTCGGTTGATGTTTTTTAATGAAGTTGCGAGGATAGCCGTTCTTCTGGAAGATAGTCATCTGGTGTTTTTCCTCGTTTTTTAATGTTTCGTATGTGCTGCAGTGTGTTTTCGCTCTCTTGAACAGAGTTTGTATGCAGTTATTCTTGTAGTTTCTTGGGGTGTTGTTGTCGTACTTGAGAATTACGTCGGTGTGGGTTGGCTTCTGAAATACTTGAGTTTCTAGTTTTCCTGTGTTAGTTCTGGTGATTAGTACATCCAGGAATGATAGGCTGTTGTTTGATTCCTTTTCCATCATCAAAGACCTTGTTGATCTGATTGTAGATGTTCTCCAGCTCATTCCTTTTGATAATAACGAATGTGTCGTCTACATAGCGAACCCACAATTTTGGCTTGATCACTGGCAGAATCGACGCTTCCAGTCTCTGCATTACCGGTTCAGCGATGAGTCCCGATGTTGGTGATCCCATTGGTGTTCCTTTTATTTGTTCGTAGACTCTGTTGTTGAACTGAAGATACGCTATTAAGCATAGGTCGATGAGTTCAAGCAAACTTTGACTCTGAAGCTTTGTATATTTGTGTAGATTTGTGTCATTGGTGAGGAGCAGAGAAAGAGTTTGTTTAGCTAAGCTTGGTTCTACTGAGGTAAATAAGGCTGTTACGTCGAAGGATATCATCATTTCGTCGTTGTCAATTTGAATCCTCTTGAGTTTATCCAAGAATTCTGTGGCAGACTTAATGGAGTAGTTGGATTCATCCACCAGATGTTTTAATATCCTTGAGATTTCTCTTGATAAGTTGTAGGTTGGGCGATGACTCTAATGCCGCGAAGAATTCCAGTTTTGAAGCGTCCTTCGTGTTATAGTTTAATCCTTTTTGGAGCAATTGTACTTCTGTTGTCGTTAGATGTTGCTTCGATAGGTTGACCACACGACTGTTTGCGTTTTCTTCTGTGGCTGGCTTTGAAATCAACAACCTGTTAGATCGGCGGCGAGTAACGAAATTGATGATAGGGTTGGAAGATAAAACGTACGGGAATAGACTCCAGCATTACGGATTATTCCTCCTGAGTTACAGGAGAACCAGAGGTGATCTGATTATGGCGTACAACATATTAAGCACTCCGAACCGTCCTAACGCGAGCATCTTACCTATGCATCACCACCATGCACTTCGAGGTGATCTTCGAAAAATTGCGCATCAAAGAATGAATACTCGTGTTCGTGCACATTTTTCCTTATTACGAGTCGTTGCAACTTTGGATGCTCACCCGGCTGAAGTGACCACAAGCTTCCGGAAGAGACTTGATAAACGCCTACTTACATGGAGATTATCATCTCCCACTCCAACCAGCTGTGCCCGATGCATGTCTTGAAACTTGCTAGTCGTTATTATTGCCATCTCCTCAGACCACCTACTTAATCTATCTCTCCTATTATTACTGCTTCCTATCCCTTGCTCACATTTCTATCGTCTCTCACAATCTTCATAACCAATGAATAAACTAAATGACCCATTTATTTACTCAGTTCCGAAATCGTCTTCGTATTAGCATGAGACTGTTGTCACTGTTATTATCCCCATTGCAAATAAATGATCGCCTGTCTGGTACTGTGATAGCTGCTGGTATTCAGAAACCCTACTGTCCTGAAACAAACGTATTCATTCAATTCACGGAACATACAAACTCACAAACAACTGCCAACTGACTGGAATTAGACAGTTGAGTTGCTAGACCCCCATTCATTGGAAATTATCAAACACCTGGAACCGAACTGAAAGAACAAGAATAGAGCGCAAAGAAATCAGTTGGTTTATACTAGCTCATGAAAAAGATATTGGATATTGGATTTTCGCTTAAGGTCACCGCAAAATCTAAGTTCTTTAATGCGTTAGCAACTAACCATAATGACTAGGTAGTTCGATAACATAAGTAAGTATTCTGTTGAAGGAAAATGCACAGGTTTGTGTTATGTTGTATGGCGTTAGCTTCTTTTTACTTCAATGCTTGTATGAACACCCTTTACACTCCTAGATCAAATTCGTAAATTAAGATTTATTTCACATTTTTACTTATCTTTTAGTAAAAACGTTAGTGTAATATCATTTTAAACACTGAACGTTTCCTTTTGCATACACTTTTTCACTGAAAAGGATACAGATTAACGTTTCACATTCAACTAAACACCTGTTCATTTTCCTTTATCGGGAATCTCAGTCTATTGTTATATTTGAAACCTTTATATTCAAAACGTTTTTCAAACAACGTAGATAAAAAGTACGGTTTTCCCAACCATCGCTCACACTAGACGAGTACTCTTTATCATTACTAGTTTCTCCTAGGTACTTCATGTATTAGAGACATTATAATGGTGGCATGTGATGAAGTTATGAACACAAGCAGAGATTAACGTATCCTCTCTGCCTCACCAACATCACAGCATATTCGCGTACTTAGTAGTGTGACTGACGTTGAATAAGGTCTTTATTTTAACGAAAACTGGCTATAGTCGGTTATGAAAATCTCATTTGACCGCCATGTAAGTATAACTCTGTGAGTTTTAAAGTAGAATGTGATAATTAGAAGTATGTGAATCAAGAACTAAGGGATAAGCACAAACGAATGTATTGTATTTAGAATTCGAAATCAAGCATTCGACAACAACAAGAAGTTACTAGTTCATTCAAACACCACATCCGCCACAGCTTAAATTGGAATGTATATGTCTGTAATCAATTGTACGTCTTCTTCTCAAATTCATCCTGTGTCTGTCCGACAGTGTATTGGATAAAGGCTCTGTATTATCTAGAATGCTCTCATTAGTATTAGAATTAACAACCGAAATTGGAACAGACTCACCTGGTTCTTGTAATTGCATTTGATTAACATGTCGATTGTGTGTACTTAAGTCATTGATATCTAGAAGTCGCACCATAGATTTCCCGACATTCTTCAGAACAATCCCCGTGGATGGTCGAAGATCATTGCCACGATAATATGTAACTTCTGCAGACTCCAAACATCTCATATTCGACCGAAGAATTCTTCCTTTTAATAGTTTTGATGGAGTCTCTTTCGTCACCGAATGTCTGGCATTTCTATATTTCAGTAGAAAGGTATCTACTCCCCTCTCCAACTCATTAAATGTTGAGGCGGCAATAGAATCAATAGCAGTTTTCAACGTCCTGACAAAATTTTCTGCCTGACCATTGGAACAAGGATGTCTGGGAGCAGTAAACAGATGTTTGCACCCTATGCCATTTAACCAGGTAGTAACTGCATCTGCAGCAAAATGAGTGCCGTTATCAGTCACTAACACCATTGGAACCCCTTCTCGAATAAACACTTTTCTTAATGCTTGAATTGTGAAGTCAGAATTTGGTGAAGTTGTGAAAAAAACTTCAGGCCACTTTAAAAAAGAATCAAAGACTACAAGTGCATAGTATTTGCCAAGAAACGGGCCACAATAGTCTGCATGAATTCTCTGCCAGGCCTCCGACGACACTGGCCATGGAGTCCACTTCGAATGCTGATTTTTCAGCTTATGACACTTTACACAATTGTTTGCTGTACGACAAATATCTGCATTTATCTCTGGCCACCAACACGTGAGCCTCACCAAGGACTTCATTTTCTCAACACCTAAATGTCCACTATGAAGATCTTCCAGGACAGCTTTTCGCAATGAAGGAGGAATAACAACCCGATCATGTAAACACAAAATACCATCAGGACTAGTGGATAGCTCATCCCGCTTTGAAAAATAGATAGGGAATCTGCGTTTCAGATTAGCATTCCAACCTTTCCGTATAGCATTAATTATACATCCAAAGTTTCTACGAGTTTCTCTAATGAGATCTGGACGTTTCACTGGTAAAGATTGCACCAACAAACATTCTGAAGTATTAACAGGTTTATCCTATGATGACTGTCGAGAAATGTAGTCAACATGTTGAATTTGTTTGGCACTCCTGTGCTGAGCCGTTTTCATACTTCCATTGCACTTAGCACACGTGGCTATCAAATCTTTAAGTAAAGCATCAGAATTTTCTTTAGAAACTAGGAAAGACAACTCCACTTTAAGTCTTCTCAAATTCATTAAACCCAGTATTGACAGTCCTGTTTCGCTAACTAAGAATTCACAAGGTATGTATGAGGAATTATCATCTCTTATTAACAATTCACAACATCCTCGTATAGGCAGTCTGTGTCCAGTAATCCCCAATATTGATACATCAGTGGGTCGTATCACAACGTTCGGATCTAACGATTTCAAGTTCTTGAATGAAATAATGGACTCTATACTGCCTGTGTCCACAATAAAGTCATGAAATGAACCAAGCGATGTATATAGTCGCTTTTGAATATGAGCATTACCTTTCGAAATGGTAGTTAAAGATAAATGATCATTAGGACTAGCTGAATTATTGGAATCTAAATTACAAGATTTAGTACTACTTGAGGCAAAATGAACAGTAGCTTTGCATACTAGTTGAACGTGTCCTATCTTACCACATCTAAAACATTTAGCATTACGAAATGTACAAGAATGACGAGAATGAAGTTTTCCACATGATAAACATTTGCCAAACTTGGTCTCACATTTTTGATTTCCCTTGTAATTCTTTTTTGAGACACCGTTCATATTTACACGAGAATAGGAACCACTGTTAAACGAACACAATTTTGATTGACCCTGAGATTGTTTTTCATCATGACAACTAATCAAAGTATTGGAAATCTTCATCGACTGAATATCAAGTTCATTCAACGCCTCATAGTTAATGCACGCAGTGCTAACATCTTGAAAGGAACAGTGTGACATTCTTAACAGCTCTCTTTCCAAACTAGGTATGTTAATTCCTGCAACTAATCGGTATCTCAGCCGCACATGAAGATGATCACCGAAATTACATTTGACAGCCTGTTTCTGCAATTCAAGAATGAATTCCTTAACATTTTGGTCATCTTGACGAATCATCTTATGAAATTTCGCTCTTTCACGGCATTCAAAACCAGGGCACTTTACATGATTCAATAATAACCCCTTTAGCATTGCATAGGGAAGTGAAATAGGTTTCTCTGGATATGCCAAGGTTTTCAATAAGCTGTACGCTTCTTTTCCGATGAATGTTAGGAAATGAGCCACAATTTTATCATCTTTGACATCTTTCCTGGTCATACTCCAGATTTCAAACCTTTCCAAATAATCTTCAAAAGCTTCAGAAGTAGAATGAATATCTAGCTGTTCCATTACAAGTTCCGTCGCGACGCCAGTGTGATAATTAGAAGTATGTGAATCAAGAACTAAGGGATAAGCACAAACGAATGTATTGTATTTAGAATTCGAAATCAAGCATTCGACAACAACAAGAAGTTACTAGTTCATTCAAACACCACATAGAACCAATAAACATAAGTTGAGTTTTTCTATTTAACGTGTAAGGCAATTTTTTTAAAGATTATTCTTCCTTAGATGTTCCCTATGACATTTACTGTTTCATACCAATCTAGTGTAGATTATTCAGACCTGTATTGAAGTAATACACATTATGTTATTCTCTAACTTACCAACCTAAGACTACATTTAACAGTGGCAAGTATATCTTTGTCTTCTTTGATCAAAAAGTCAGTATGACTGTTTAATCGAACCCTAATATGAAGTTTACACCAGAATACGAAAAGAATGTCATTCGTAACATTCCATACAAGGACTTACTACATGCTTTCATTTGATTTCTTTGCGCGAGTAGTGCTTTTACTCGGTGTAGTGTGTTTGCTGAATCTGCATCAACTTAAACGGTTGAAACTTGTGGCTGTGGTCTATTATAACCGATTGACCTGGTCAACATAGAGCTATGTTTTGAACGGGCTAAGAGCAACCAGGTGGCTACAAAGCATCATTTCTCGAAGTCGATAATGGTCGGTTTTGGCTATTTCGGTAGCAGCTGTTTTCCCGTACAGTGTTAATATATATAAGGAACTTGATGGTGAAGACTATGTGAAATGGTCTAGAATCGGTCACAGTCGCGAAATTTATTCATTTTTGTTCGTATTTGATATCTCCCGATATGTTCTACTTTTTCATCCCATTCGTACATTCGAAGCTATATTTTGTGCATAAGTCTCCATATTCACCAATAATATTATTTCCATCTTGAAAAATATTCGCGATGGTTATCAATTAAGTTCAAATATTCACCGTATAGAATCAAAATTCTTGTTCAACAAATGTCAACACTGAATAAATGTTCAACAGGAATCATCAGAATACGATTAAGTGACGCACTGAAATTATAAAATATTAACCAAGACTATTATTTAATCAAACAATATTCTTACTTGTTTCACTTCTTTTCAATGAGTTGTTTTATCTTTTGAGTACCATTGGAAATCATTCGGCAAGTCGTAGTTCATATACTTGACGTAAGGAGTAACAATGTTAGCCAAAACTTTAAAAATGTCAAGTTATATTACCAAGGTGCCCGAAAACGTCGACAAGTTAAAATACAATTTGTAGAATCATGAGTGGAAGCCAACTGCTGTAACCACCAAGCTACCACATAGTTTTTCACAGTAAGCACACACTTCACTGTAATGAACAGGAACAATCAAGGTTTATGCCTGGCAAGTAGTTGTCTGTCCTTTATGTTGCTAATCATCAATTCCCATCCACTTTCAGCTGTTAATAACCTGATGCTGTTTGTTTTTTTTCTACTCACAGGATCGTAATGAGTTACATTAGATATCTAACTCATAGAATAAGTGCAGTGGCTGTTGCTACAACGCTATTCACTGTCACGTTAATGCTGCAATCAATAATCGTCGTACATAACTACTCGTCTGTTTTCAAGAATGTTCCTAAACCAATTGACGCAGCTTATTTAAAGACAGTCCCTGGAAATATCACGTTAACTCGTGATTGGAGCTCTGGTAATACTCTGTCAATAGAACGTTCAACAATATCAATATCTAATAATACACAACGAATTTTCATAAGTCCTAGCCTTTCTTCGGGTTCTGATGATTTAGAATATCCTATGATGGTGGATATGCCGAAAGTTGTCAGAGAAGTTCTTTCAAACAACACCTTAACAATTCGTTCAATAAATGATCCACGATTTCCAATTCTCATAGGTGAATATCAAAAGTGTGACAACATACTGTTAAAAACAGGAGAACCTCCAGAGCTATTGATTCTCATCAAGTCTGCTCCATCAAACTATTTACGCAGAGATACTATACGCCTAACATGGGGTAATGATCTTTGTTGGGGTGGACGTCGTGTCGTGCATCTTTTTCTTCTTGGAAATGTCCCATTTGACAGCACAGGTTTAAAATCTATATTAAAAAATGAATCCGATGTATATCACGATATCATTCAACAAGATTTTCTTGATACTTATTATAACAATACATACAAAACTATGTTTGGTATTAATTGGGCAGTGAAATATTGTTCAAATGTCCCGATCATTATGTTTGTGGATGATGACTATTTTGTCTATCCGAAAAATGTGATCGCCTATATTGAAGGTTTGAGCACAGAGCTGCGTAAACTCTTGATCAGTGGTTATGTCTGGTTTAATGCTGGACCAGTTCGTAAAAATAACAGCCTTGACAATAAATGGTTTATTGATTATAAAGAATATGCTCCACGTTTTTATCCTCCATTTGTGGCAGCAGGTAATTATTTTCTTTCAATGAATTTAGCACGTGAAATGAATGTGGCTATGCTTTACACAAAACATTTTAGATTCGATGATGTGTATCTGGGAATAATACTTAAGAAGTTAGTACGTTTACCGATTCATTTAAAAGAAGTTTATACCTTTCATCCTGTCGATTCAAGATCATCTGATATTTATAAAATGATTTCTAGTCATGGTTTTGGCGAATCTGTTTCACTATTCTTCTTATGGGATCGTTTAAACTGCTCAACATTTTGTGTACAATCTCTTGTATGATTTACTATTTGTTTGTCTTCTTTTGTACTGATCGATTTACAGTTCTTATGTTTTTCTTTCGTTTGAAAGCAATGCTTCACGGGTTTTTACAACTGTGAATAAAGATAAAACTAGAGGTCAATCTAGAAGAAACTATTCCACTGTTATTCGTTATTTTGTCCTGATTTTTGTCAGTGAGATCACCTGTCTTATTCATTCCACTTAAATATTCTTATCGTTGCAGTTATTACCTTACATAAGTGCGAACCCCGTCAATAAATTTAAGCAAAAGAAGTTATGAATTTTTAGTGGATATTTTTTGTGCAACATTTTTCTACAATCACGACCATCAACGATTGTTATCTGGCGGCTTTCTTTATAAGGTTTTGTTTTGTTTTTCATGCATTGACATGATTAAATGAACTTGTACGAGATAAGGAATGAATCTGCAAATGACGACACGAGAATCGACTGTGAATGTAATTCCTGCCATCAACTACAAGAACATCAACAAAACATTATTCAATTGATGACTGTGAAAAGTGATTCAGGCAAATGCAGCTTAGATGTCTTTTTAACTAGACGTAAACTGTCGAAGCATTGATTTTTTGAGTGGTTGATGCTAACTAGTTGCATAACATAATAAACTTCGCAATATGATGATTCAAAACATGGATTCAAATCTAGATTGAGAAATCATTATTCAATAACTTGGATGTTCATTCCTAATCTGACTATTGATTATTAAAGATGTACAGCGTGATCGCTGAACTTTATATAAAATCATACTGTCATTCCTCGTATTAGCTAATAATAATCACAGTCTGCTAACCGTCTGTTTATTTGTCAGTTTTCAATAAAATCATAGATTACCGTAAGGAGACGTACATTTAGAAGTAAACTGTAGAGTTCAATCATAACATATTGATATGTTACATTGAATATTATTTTTAGGAATAAAGTAGAAATTTATCAAAATATTCATTATTTAAGTTTTAAACAGTACTTTTTGAACAGTGAATCAAATGGTGTAATGCAAGGAAATTAAGCTTTCTCTCTCTCATGATTACATAAATAATAAGATATACATGTATGTATACATAGTGATTGAATTGAAAATTAAATTCGATTTCAAGAATTTATCAAGAAAAAAGTTCTTTCCTCTCACACACAAATGCTCAAAGTGTGGACCGTTGTGTCGTTTTCTGGGCGTGTTTATTTCCAACTTCACTCAACTGACGATATTGTACGATCTCATTGGTTGTGTTCACTGAGTAAGTTCGTCACACCTGACACTGTCTTATCATATCTTATGTTTGTCTGACGCAACGTAAAACAACAAGTACCAAGCTGACTAGTTAACTGTACTGTTATTATGCAGTTGGATATTTATATACGTGTAGTAGTAGTACTTCAAGAAGATATATTATAACACAACAATTACGCAACGAACATTCATGTAACAGTTAACGTTATAGTTTGTGAAATTCTTCAACAATTGATAATAAAAAATATCCACTATGACTTTGAAAATTATCAATAAGATAATGTCCTTTCAAATAAAGACAAAACTCCTAATCATTTTGACATAAATCATATTCTGTATATAAGTCAATTATACTTAGTTATGCTATCTATTTGATTCGAAATCAATCGTCAAACATCGAGCTTATTGATGTCAAATCGAATTATATATATTCTAATGGTGTACAGATATTTGAATGGATGAGAATATATAAATGTCTATTTTTGGAATAGTAATGTGTTGTAGTGAGATTTTATTAACTTTCTTATATATCTAAGTGAGGTTATGCAAGTCAGTACAAATAGACTCATGATTTCAATGGAACCCAACAATCTCCACAACTATACAATGACAACTATCATTTGGTTACAAGTGACTAGCATCCTGATGAAATCCTCAAAGTTCTAGTTCCAGTGTGCAGCAGATTCCCACCGAAGACAAAGGGTTAGGTCACGCAGTATCGAAGATTGACTAAAGTTAAACTCTAGCATTCAGACAAACCAATATGTACCTGTAGGTTTCAGTGCTCCTGTAGAGATAAATACATAGGTCTCACAATGTTAACGCTTTCCGAAAACTAGCAAACATTGGTCTGTCTGGATTTCATAATTTGAATGTAAAACAGTCAACAGTTAGACACCACAACTAATTGTAAACTCTGGTCACATCGCCCCACCTCATGAGGCGGTCATTATTCTTCCATGGCCCTAACACTTAATCTTCATAAACGGTAATTTGACTATTATTACCCCGTTCTGATGTTTTTCATCTGACTTTTAATAATTAATTATCATCAAATTCATGTTTTCACTTTATTCTACACACCTCTCATACTCGTCAAGTGAACAATTATTCTTCAGGCATTTGATTTCAGCTTACAACCTCTCTTAAATCCTCAAATACTGATCGATTTCCTACAACACATGATAATGCGTAATCATTCTTTTATTTTTCCATCGATAATATTATTCGTGAATTAACTATAAATATGATTGTACAGCTTCAATAAATGATATCGTGGGAAAGAGAATTTTCTTCTCTGAATCACCTTTAATGCTCCTTCAATTACACTATTCATATTACTGGTGACAGAGTTGAGGATTACAAAAGTGGCATAGATATGAACAATATTTCATCTCTGCTGCAGAACGAAAGTGTGAATAATGAATTCAAGTTACAGTTGTTTCAATGTTTTGCGAATGAATTGATCACACTGTGCAGTTATTATGGTTCTTGATTCATTTCTTAAATGTACAGAAGCCGTAACAGTCAAACGCATATTCAAAAAGAAACAGTAGCAGATCCTTTCTTTACCATGATAAAATTTCTGACATTTTATTGCTGAAGTCTATCAACCTACCTCTTATATTGATTGCATGATTTTTAAATTCATCATTCTGTTTTGACGGACTGATCTGAATCTTATTCTTAATTATCATTGATTTGTATTGATGGTATAATGAAGTAAATTTGTAGTTATATGACCTCTAACTGCCTGCTCTAAGTTTTCACATCTGCTCTCACAAACCATGTTTGTTCCGAACCCAATTTCATCTACCTTATAAATTAATTAAAATTGTCTGTGCATCATAATGACAATTATATACAGATAGGCAACTCCGCGTACACAAGTATGTCAAATTTGATTTGAGTAAATGACAGCCGATGAGCTTCGATCAGAATATAATGAATTCATGTTATCCTATTCAAGTCTTTCTCACACTCTTCACAAAAATTTTTTCATTAAGATTACAGAACGACGAAAGTTAAACAACCAACGAAAACAGGGAATTGCTAGGTGATGGTTTTATTTAAGCATAGGATACTTATATAGTGCGCACCTACAATCCCAATACAGGGAGCCAAATTCAGGACATTCATGCTGGGGCCCGAGCTCTTAAAAAGCGGAATTTGCTTACCATCGAAGTGGCAGTTGAAACGCGTACAGCAACTCAAAAGCTGTACAGTCAGAATTCGATTAAATATTTAAGATTAGTAAGATTAGTACACTTATCATTGATACGAAGTATCCGTCCATTTTTATCGAGAACAATCTATCCCCTTGAATTACTGCTTTAAAATTTTCCAACCTTACATACCCTTATCACATACGGTCAGTTTGAAGATTGAATTCATAATCTGTGAAAGATGTTAAAATCTAAATAGCATTTTGTTTTTCATTTATAAGATCATTTAGATATATTTATGAATATATACATAAAATAGCTCATCAAGAAGGTGTTGAGTGAAGCTCCAACAATTGTACTAATCGTCAACTAAACTAGATTCAGTGACACATTTTCTAGTTTTCAGTAATTTCTCAGTTTGTGGTGAAATTTTATCGCAAATGTTTTATCAAGTGAGCTTATATACTTTCATAAACAAACATTCATGTAGCTATTAGTCTGTCTTGAAGCTCATACTTAAGCGAACTCATGGATTTATGGTGAGAAACTTGACCGTTTTGAAGAGAGACAATTGTTCACTAATGACATCATATAATTATCGCTTAATTTCGTGAATTGATTGAAGTTACACACTTAAATCAGTGGATACTAATCTACAGGTTTACAGATTAAGTTTGCGTTGCGATTTAGTGAAACAGATTAGAAATCTACTCATGCTACATTTCAGACATTCACCTGCTAGTAAATTCAAATATTGTCGGACATATTCTTCAATTCAACATTCAGTAGCTATTAGAAATCAAATAATAATCATGTGATTTCATTTCGTTTATGAAACTGGTTGCAAGCAGATTATGTAATTCAGTTTGCAAGTATTTTGTTTTCAAGTAATCAATAACTTGAACCTTCCTACTCTGATACTGATTATTCACTAAATTTTAACCACTGACATGTTTGTTTTAGACTTTAAACAATGATTGCATTCAATTGCATGGTTACGGGTTCTAGTGACTTGACATAATATGAACTATGTTTTGGTATTAACACGTTCAATGTGGCGGATAGTGAGTCACAGTTGAAATACTGAGCGAAATAATGCTCCTCGTTCAATGTGAATCTGTAACACACAGATTGACAGACAGAAATGTTATCACTGAACTATTTTTAAAAGTGACTGACCTGATATAGACATAAGATATTTACACTGACTAATCAGTAGTTATTGTTTGTGATTATGTTTGACTAGCCCTTAAAGTTGACTGATGGAACTTGAGCATTGTTTCCTTGAGGTACATCAAACTGATCTGCAAGATATAATACAAAACATAAGTCCCGTGCTTTCCTCCCCATGGCGTGTAACCAATCCATTCACTATAAACAGTGACAGCAGTAATAAACTTTTTATCATTTCAAAGATCAATCAGTATTAGATTTAAAAGGTTCACGTTATTCAGTAGTAAAATAATTATTTCACAAACTGAATTACATGCTATGATCTGTAAAAAAGTTTAAAAGAAAATTTTATAGAAATTCAGTGAGTTAACCTCAAGATCATACATAGAACGTTAAGTTTAATCAGATTTCAAAATATATTACTATTATTCTGAAGAGTTATATATATATGTATATTTATATAAATACAAAAATGATAATATCACAAACGTTCTAAAGAACAGAAAATGTATTTCAGATTGTCTATTTTATTACTCAAGAATGTTAATAATCATGATAAAAATACAGATGACCCATGAGACATCGAGTTTCAATCCGATATTACCATTAACTGATGCCATATCTGACTCAAGTCACCTTTCATTGGGTTTTGTACATTTTATATTAAACAGTCCAATACAAATATGTATATGTCATCATTCATTGTTTTAGTTTATAAAAGTTGATTATTGAATCAAATCAATACTTGGTAGTTGAACGATTTCAATTTATTTTGAATATTTGACAGGTTTTCCAACATATTTAAATTAATATGTATATCTCCAGAATCATTTTATTTTTGAAAAGATACTACACAAATTATGTGAGTACATTTAAGTATGTCCTGAATATTTCTTCTTTTAAATGTTATATTCTTTCAAAATAAACATTGATTTGATGATATACAAATATACACACACAACATACATCATAGTTTGATTAATTGTGTTATCTGTTCTCAATAGAAAACTCTTTCATGTTAATTTATTATGATTTTTGGTTATAACAACAACATTCAATGTTTATTTGATATTAATCTAGTTTGAATTGTGTTCTTCATTTTGAAAATTAATTTTTCTCTATTATTTTTA